TCCTGCTCCGACATTTCCTGGTCTGGGGCCCACATTCAGCTCCCCAAGGCCTGTCAGCCCAAGCGTGGGGCTCCTGGGTCCCCGAGGAGACGGAGCCAAGGCCGACAGTGCAGGGGGCGCCGTGTCCCCTACAACCTCTCCCAAACCGCCTGCACGCCCAGCCCCGGGCAGCAGCAAAGCCCTGTCCTGACTCAAGGAAATCCTGATAACAGGTAACGGGACACAGGACTGGGAGTCCCCGGCCAGGTCTGTCCTCCAGCGACATCCTCCTCCGGCGTCCGGACAAGCCAACCCCTGCTCCTCCTGTGCAGTCCTCCCCGCTGCCCATCCCGCCCCACAGGGCGATGTAGCGGTACTGGGGATTGGGGGCCCATGGGGATCGGCCGCAGCAAGACAGCGCCGGCGCCTCCGCGTGCAGAACCGCTCGGGCGGGAAAGGGTTACGCGGGAAGCCACGCCCCCGCCCCCGCTCGCTGATTGGTCTCTGCCCACTTCCCTCCGCCGGCAGCCCGCCTCCGGGGCTTCAGCGCTCGGGGTTGCCGGGCGAATGAACTTGGTCTCCACCCGGCGTCCTCTCCTCAACGCGGCGAGAGGGCGCAGAGAAAGTGGCCCTCCCTTCCACAGGCCTTTCAGACAACTCAGGCCCCCAAAACGTTGCGGTCACTGTCCACCCAGCATGCATGTTCCTACAGGACCATGCGGTTGGTCCCCGCCATGGAGAGGGACAGGAGTTGAGGCTGCAGGGACCCCGACACACCAATGGCCTCAGTCTCAAGCGATCAGACGCCGAAGCCCGGCCTCCTTCAGGCCACTGGGGGTTGGCATGACAGAGAACCCCCACATTCCCGTGAAACTGTACCCAGAGTCATGTGTACCCCGAGTCAGTGTAATTCTCTCAACTAAAATCTCTGTACCTCAAAGGATATGGAACAAGTTCCAGCGCAACAAAAGACCTTGAACTGTGGCTGACTACAGACTGTGGAAAAGCTTGGCTCCTTGCCAGTGAGCTTGAATTTAGATTCGATTGATGGTTCCCATTCTCAACTATTAAAGGGCTTTAAAGTGTAGACTGTTTAGTGACCACAGATCCTCCCATAAAGTATGCAGGCCCCTTTGCCATGTGGTCTTGAATCTGGACTGGTCTCCAGCCCACATTGGTCACTTGCTGTAGCCAATAGAGTGTGGCAGAAGCTCGCTGTGGGGGTTTAGACGCCCTCACCCTCATGGACAGGGGCCCTGAGACTGCCAGAGAAGGAAGCTGTATGAAGGGCCACATGCAAGGGATGGAGGCACTGCCAGGCATGGAGGGAGGCCATTTCCAGTGTCCAGTCCAGCAGACCCTCTAGCTCTGTGTAGCCACAAGAAGGAGCCTGGGGAAACAAGCCCAGGCACCCCATGGAACCCTGATCAATAATAAACTACTGTTATTTTAAGCCAGTAAGATCAGGGCTCATTTGTTATGCAGCAGTAACTGATATTCTTGGCAAGTGACTGAACCTAGTCGGTTTTGGCTTTTTGACAGATGAAATAATACTAATGGTTGTGAAATATCCAATATCAAAGTGCTTTTGAACTCTTGAACTCTAGGGGCCATGCTACACAAATTTTAAATCCCTCAGATTATCACATTTAAAGGGCTGGTAACCCAGTGAAAGGAATAAAAATATTAAGTATAAAGGATAGCAAATGAGAATTACTTATTTTAAAAGTCTGTAACATGAAATAAGCCAGACATAAAAGGACAAAGGCTGTATGATTCCACATATATGTTGTACCTAGAGTAGTCAAATTCATAGAAACAGAAAGTCAAATGGTAGTTGCCAGGGGCTGGGGGGAGGGGAAATGGGGAGTTAGTGTTTAATGGGGAGCGTTTTAGTTTGGGAAGATGAAAAAGTTCTGGAGATGGATGGTGGTGATGGTTGCACAACAGTGCAAATGTATTTAATGCCACTGAACTGTACACTTAAAAATGATTAAAGTGGGGGTTGGGATGAATTGGGGGATTGGGATTGACATATATACACTATTGATACTATGTATAAAATAGATAACTAATGAGCACCTACTGTATAGCTCAGGGAACTCTACTCAGTGCTCTGTGGTGACCTAAATGGAAAGGAAATCCAAAGAAGAGGGGATATATGTATACGTATAGTTGATTCACTTCGCTGTACAGTAGAAACTAACACAATATTGTAAAGGAACTATACTCCAAATTTTTTTTTTTAAATGATCAAAGTAGTACATTTTTGTAAGGTATATTTTAACACACACGCAAAAAAACAAAAACAAAACAAAACAAAACAACCCAACTATAACAAACCATACATAGTAATGCTCCACCTACCATACTGGTGAATGAGGTTCTCCATACAATGCAGATTTCTGATTAACTAAAGTTATCCCTCCATGATTCTGAATTTTACAATTTCTCTCTCTTTCACAATTTATCCACCGAGGATGGATGCTGCCTAAGCTCTAGTAACTCATCATCACTACCTGGATAAAGACAGCATACAACTTTTATCCTGATTTGGGAAATGAAGTGTCCCATCCAGTTCCCTTGGCACTCCACCCCCCGGGGGCCCTTTCTCCATCATTCATATCCTGCTCTCTCTGGTCTCCAAACCTCTCTGCCTCCTCTGGGTCTTTGCATTTAGAGTTCTCAGGTCCTAATCCTTAGGTCTCCTATATCCTAAAACAAAACCTCACAAGACTCTCTCCTTCCCTCAACAGTTAGACTCTGCAGGAACAGTCCATACCCCTTCCTTCTCACCCAGGCTGCCTGGCAGCTGCCCCCCAACTCTGCAGACACCACTCTCCTGTTGGGCCACCGTGCAGGATCAGCACCTGCTGGGTCAATCCATAATCCATGTTTCCCTCTGAAATACCTGCTCTGGCCTGTATGTGGTCTATCCATGCAGTGGAATTTATTCAGCCATAAAAATGAATGAAGTTCTGATACATGTTACCATATGGATGAACCTTGAAGACAGTATGGCTCGGTGAAAGGTGCCAGACACTAAAGTCAGCATGTGGTATAATTCCATTTATGTGAGATGTCCAGTAGAGGCAAATCCATAGGGACAGAAAGTAGATTAGTGGTTGTCAGGGGCCGGAGGGGAGGGAGGGGGAGATTAGGGAGTGATACTAAAGTGTGTGGGGTTTCTTCTTGGGGTAATGAAAATGTTATAAAATTGGCTGTGAATACAATAAAACATTGAATTATACACTTTAGTTGGGGGAATTGTATGCTATGTGAATCATATCTTAATAAGGTTGTTTAAAAAAAACCTTATAAGGGCTTCCCTGGTGGCGCAGTGGTTGAGAGTCCGCCTGCCGATGCAGGGGACACGGGTTCGTGCCCCGGTCCGGGAAGATCCCACATGCTGCGGAGCGGCTGGGCCCGTGAGCCATGGCCGCTGGGCCTGCGAGTCCGGCGCCTGTGCTCCGCAACAGGAGAGGCCACAGCAGTGAGAGGCCCGCGTATCGCAAAAAAAACACAAAAAAAACCTTATAAGGGGTTCCCTGGTGGCGCAGGGGTTGAGAGTCCGCCTGCCGATGCAGGGGACACGGGTTCGTGCCCCGGTCCGGGAAGATCCCACATGCTGCGGAGCGGCTGGGCCCGTGAGCCATGGCCGCTGGGCCTGC